GATAAATTAAATATATTATATTGTATCGCTTCAGATCTTGAAGCAATTCATTCTCAAGAAATGTTTCATCGAGATTTACATTCTGGAAATATTTTGCAAGGAAGTTTACACAGTGCATACATCACTGATTTGGGACTCTCAGCATCATCTGATATTAAGCAAGATGGTGAAATCAATGGTGTTGTTCCGTATATAGCGCCTGAGGTCTTAAAAAGGGAACCATTCACTCAAGAGGCGGATATTTATAGCCTCGGTATCATTATGACTGAGTTAGCAACAGGAAAGAGAGCATTTGATGGAGAGTCTTTTAATACTAAACTTTCGGTGAGAATTTGTCGAGGCGAACGACCTGGAATCGGCGAGAAAACACCAAAATGCTACGCAGAATTGGCTGAAAGATGTATGGATTCTGATCCAAATAAACGACCAACGGCAACAAATATTTGTCACAGAGTTGGATATTGGCTTGAAGAAATGGAACTAAATAAAGATAATGAGGCCAAGAAACAATTTTTTGAAGCAGATAAGATTAAACCAAAATTAATATCACCGATTCATCTAAATGATGAGTACAGGAGTAAATCGATCAACACCAAAAAGATAACAGAAGCGGTAAAATTAGAAACTTAAGATATAAATTCTCAATACCATCTTTCTAAGATCGCCGAAGAGATCAACCATTTGAGTCTGTCGAGATCATTGATGATTAATAATTCAATTTTTTATTTTATTTTTTTTTATCTTGTTTTATATTATATATTAAACTTAAAATTTGTGTGATATACTGAATAAAAGAGGTTATATTTTTTTATAAATATATTTAAGCTTATTTAAAAATTTTATGATTCTTTTTTAAAATTTATTATAACGATAATAGATAAATTTAATACGGGCACAAGATATGTTAGATTATACCCAACCAATCGGATCGTTTTCTATATTTAAATTGACAGAACCTTTATATGTATTAACGTTAATGTTACTCTCATAAATTATAAAAATTGGCCAATGATTATTCTGCCGAATTTTGATATTAATATTTATCGTTACGATGCATATTTTATTATTATCGTTACTAGTCAAATACAGCACGTATTATGTTTCAAAGCATATTCGTTACCATATACTTTAATTTGCTAGTTCGACTAATCTAAGCTTTAGCAAATTTTCTGTATATTGAAATCTCGTGCAAATTTCATGTGTTGAAGAATTAATTCATGATTTTCAAAAAGACACGTTTATTATTGAAATACTGTATAAGTAAGTTCAAGCGAAGTCTGTTGACTGACAAGATCAATCTTAATCATAAATTTCCGTGCAAATTAAGTACATTGAGCAAACAATTTTAGACAAGCAACCGTCTCAATGTATAGTTCTAATAATAAACGGATTTATAAGCATCTTGTTTACATTATAATGAAAAAGCAATGGATGCCACAGGTAAGTGATATTGGGCCAAGATTTTATAAAGACCTGTATGCACAAAACATTAAATATAGTAAATATATAATAAATAATGTCATACACAAATAATTTGTTTATTATTAAATATATTTACCTGTCAAGGTTACAATACTGCTTATTTGTGAAGTTCTTTATGCTTTTATTCGCTCATGATACAATAAGAGAATTTACAAGTATCTAGAAATTTTGTCTTTTATAATAACGTGTCATAATACATAAAAAAAAATATAGATGAAACCATTCTATTAGCATTATACCGAAATCGAATTCGGACCGGATGATTATATTCGGGATGTTCGGTATATAACGATAATATCATTCATCGGGATTTAGATCTCCAATTTAGTAATTTTAGAGAGACAGAAATGACTTAATAAAAAAAAAAGACAGAGTGCATTATGTATTCATTTGTCATATGACAAAACATAATAACGATAATGCATTTTTAACTAATAAATTTAGCTCGGACATAATATCAATAAGTACTTTTTATGTCCTCCGATATAATTAGATACACATCTTGATAGTCGTTTTACACCATGATGACCAAAATATTATATTAGAAACGTAAATATTATTGGTTTTTTTTTTCATAAAACTAATTTTTCATTGTCCTAGTTGTTTGTTCTATTATTTTGACCAATCATAACTAATTAACATTTAATGTAACCATTCGTGTGCGTTAAGCTTAAAAAAAATTTGATGGACAAAACGTTAAGTAATATAAATGATTTATGTACATTAATGTATAGTTTTGCCAATTTTTAAAAACTTATTCTGACGTAAATCTATTATTAGATATTAAATACAGAAAATAAATAACCCTGAATTTCATTCGCACATACGTATTCGGAAAGTACGTATATATGTACAGTATATACATACATATATATGTATATACTTTTTTTTACACATCTTTAAATTACTATACATACGTACGTATACGTAATTGATTATCAGATATTTCCAAATTTTTTACTAAAAAAAACCGACATTTTCAAGTACGGACACGCACGGTCAAAAAAATCGACATGTATAATGACTATTATCAAAGCGTAAATTGCATTAATATGGTATAAGCGATCACTTAAAAAATCGGATAATTTAATTCGTATAAGCATATTATATAAATATGCTCTTGCAGTTTCCGAACGCACAGTATGTGCTTATGTAGTTAGACTATTTAAAATAACATGAATTGACAAGTTGATTGTTTCAAAAAAAACCCTATCGTTATCTCTATTAACCTATCAGCTATCATTTATTTAATCTTCTGACAGGTGTAACATTGCAAACTTCTTATACTAACACTAATTAACATAATAAATTATGGTAAATCTAGTTAGTTAAAATCGTTATTACAGTATTACTGTATTAGATGAGAAATATTATTCGATATTGAGCGTCATCTAGAGTTTTCTAACGCCAAAGTTGAATATTAATGAAATGATTGTCTGAAATTTGATGAAACTCTTGTTAACATGTTTATCTCGCTTATCTCATTTGTGTAGGAAACGTGTTTATGAATATACCTATTCAGTCTACAGTATTCAGTGGAATTTTTTTATTTTTTATTGCTTATTAGTTATTTATTTTTTTTATTATATTATTATCGGGGGGGTTTTTTTTTTTTTTTTGTCAAAATAAAAAAAAAAATTAATTTATAATATTAATTAAAATAAATAGGTAATTTTTTTTTTCTTTAAAACAAAAAAAAAAAAAAAAGAAAAAAAGAAGAGAATAGTAGAATTGTCCTTTAGTTCTATGGATTGCCAACTAAATTAGTTTCTACAAATATTGTAAACACTATCACAAACACATTATCGATAGTGCGCCTTTAAACTCTGTACTTATTTGTGTATAATAAAGGAGTGTGTTACATACTTTTGGTAGAAAAAAAAATATTTTTTTCTTAAAAAAAAAGACACAAAAAAACAGTAAATCTATATATTTATATATTATATATTTATATATAATTTTTTTTTTTTTTCATAAATAGAAATTATCGAAAACAAGATTTTTAAAACTTGTTTCTGATTGACATATATACAGAAAACATTGAAGATGATAATTCGAGAAAAAAAAAAAAAATAAAGTATCGAAAGAAATGCAGAAAATTGTCCGTTATTATTTTAAGCATTTTTATTCTTTCGATACCACACACACTAAAAAAAAAATGACGCGTAATTACTAGTTCAAATGACTAGGAAATACATTTGCGAGTGGAGTAATTGGTGAAGATGGGGTGATCTCTTTAGATTGATCAAGATAGGCCTTTTTTCTACCTAATGGACTACTTTTAATTACATGATTATTATGATTATTTGGAAAATATATTGTATCAAGTGATGAAGTGACTTTCGTATTTTCTCCATGAACCATTATTAATGGAGCGGTTTGTGCACGTACAGGTTCTTTATGGAACGTGAGTGAAAGTTTACGAACGTGTGTATGATGAGGTGCAGATGTGCTTCCTCCACCAGTATTATTTGTTTTTTTATCTTGTAAACCAGAACATGAAGCAGGTTTACGAAGAATAGGTTGACCTAATCCAAACATTGCAACTAAATTTGATGGTGTCTCCGGACGTGATGAAGGTGTACTATTTGAAATATTAATAATATTATTACTAATATTATTACTAATATTATTACTAATATTATTACTAATATTATTACTAATATTATTACTAATATTATTACTAATATTATTAATATTATTAATATTATTTACATGATGAACACCATTAAATGAATCGATAGAACTTTTTCTTGAATTTATAGAAGGTGGAGTATCCAAACTCAAAGATTCCAACGAAGGACGTCGAGATGAGAAAGTTGAAGCAGAAGTAGAACCAGTTGAAGAACCAAAACCACTATTTCTAGAATAAAAAGAACTTAAAGAACTATAACTAGCTTGTCTACGGTGCATACCACCAGAAAGTTCTAATCTATCCAAAACTATATCAACAATATTTCGACCACCCAAACGTTTTTCAAGAGCTGAAATCCATTCTTGCATTTCAAATTCTGTATCAGCGAAAACGAGAAATGTAGTGGATTTTTTTATAGAACGTGTATGATAACTAAGTGTTGAATGAACTGAATCATTTTCTCGAATAATTTTTTCAATGCGAATACAATATGAAGATTTTTTTGTGGCTGACGAATCTTGGCTTACAGAATTATATGTTGTAAGGTTAATTACACCAGCAGGCTCTGAATTATCCTATTAATAAAAGAATTTTTAAGGGAGTTGGGAATAAGTTAGGAAACTATTAGGACCCTGCATTAAATCATTTAATAAAAAAAAAAGGTTACAAAATTTTTTTAATTACCTTTTGCCGATAATAGTATAAAGAATTTCCCCTTAATACAAACCAGCGACGTTTCCAAGTTTTTCTTAAAGCATTTCCACCAAGTTTTGTCAACCAACCAGATTTATTATCTTCGAATTGCATGTCTTTAAGATTTATTCTATTTGGAAGAAAGGAGGAAATTGCCCGGCAAAAGCCTCAGAATAATAGGAATGGAAAAAAAAACTCTTTATATCGGAATGATGAGAAGTAAATGATGAGGAGTTGATGGAAAGGTGTTGTAAATGTTGTAAATGTTATAAATGTTATGAAGGGAAGGGAATTCTATAGACGATATACAAATTTGTTTTTTTTTTTTGTTTTTTTTTTCGAACGTTTTATTTTTTTTTAAAAAAAAACGATGAAAACTTTCTTATTATATATATATAAAAAAGTTCTATGACAAACGAGTCAACAAAATTAAAAGGTCTATCTAAAGTAACGGAAAAAATATATATATGAAGAGAAAAGAAAAGAAACCTAATCAAAGTATCTTCTTTACGGACACTTGAAAGGAAGGAAATTGGTCAAGTGAACAAAAAGTTTTTATTGACCGTTTGGCGACAGAGCTTTTTATAATAATAATAATTAATGGATCGCGGAGACAAGCTGTGAAGTTAAAAGGAGAAAAGGGGAAGGAAACTGTTGGTTCAGAGATGCACCTATTTATACTAATTATCGTTACAAAATAATTAATATATACTTTATATAGTTATAAAATATATATACGTATATATAGGTTAAATTAAAATTAGATTACCCTGTAATTGGTAAATTAAAATTAAATTAAACTAAATTAATTATCAGGAATTCATTTTAAAGAAAAATATTATATATTATATATATATATATATATATATATATATATAATAAGTATATATATTTCAGTATATATTTACGACATACTCAACATACTCATACTTAATACGTATATACTTGATTTATACTTGATTTATACCGGTACTTGATACTGTAATATAGATGTATGTACGCACTTGCGTGTCAGGTATATGCACGGTACGTATCAGGTATATATCGAAAGAAATAAAGTTACGATCACAGAAAAGAATGGCGTACATTTGAAGATCATAAAGAGACCCTAAAATGTACAGTTTTATAATAAAAAATTAAAAAAATTAGAATTATATGAAAATTTTTAAACGAATAACTTGAATAACGATAATCATAAAGTAAAAAAATCGTAATTTTCATTATCTATACCTAATATACCTCGTATTACAAAGCATCAAATAACCTCGTGCAGAGATCTATCTATTCAGAAAATCTAACTTAATATAAACCAACATGATATAAAATAATTTTTTTATATAAAGAATTTCATACAAAGTATTTGGTAACATATATAATCATGAAAATTTTTCTCTTTGTTTATGGAGTGCAAATCCGTATATTACTTATGCAAGAACACTCTAGTCCCTTATTCCTATTTACTAAATTAAGTAATTTGTAATTTATTGATTGAATAATGATTGAATTGTTGATGCCATTCTTTTTTGTCATTTTTTTATAAAGCATGATTAACGTGATTGTTTTAAATAATATTTATTGAATATATAAAGTATTACAGTATTAGCAAGTATTAGCAGTACGTATACACGTACGTATTAGAGATGATAAACTTATGATTCCTTATAACCCAGAAACGTACATACCTTAGATAAACAATGTGATTAGAAATCGCGGGTTCGGATTAAAAAAAGTAACAATGACTGAATATCGATATTTTGACTGAATATGAATTTTTTGATTAAATATTTAAATTTGAATATCATTACTATAAAAGTTTATATACCTGTTTATATATGCTCGTTTATGTATATATGCCAGCTTATATACATTTATATGCATTTATATACATTTAGATACATGTTTGATACCCCTCCATTATCTTTTTTTGAATAACGAACGAATGAAATTAAAGAATGATATTAAATTTCTCTGCAAGATGGCGGGTAGGAACTTAATTAGACTATGAAAAGTTTTTAATTACTAAAAACTATATCCAGGTATTTACTCCATATCTAATTGTATCTATATAATTGTATATATCTAATTGTATCTAACCGTATCCACTGTATTGTATATCCTATTATCAAACTATTTACACCCCAAAAATCGTTTGTTTCAAATATGTTACGGATCCATGTACCTATCTATTCCTTATTATTTATGATTATTAATAAGATACGTACGTATGTTTAAAGTTGTGTTCAGGTATAAAAATATTTGGCGGAGGACAACAATGCGAACGAGTCATCAGATGTACGTACGATGTACGATGTACGTAATTAATATACTATATTTAAATAAAGAACCTTTCGTGTTACTATAATGATATCATAAGATTCGTCAGAAATTTCTTTATTAGTTCTGCTATTAATTATGTTATTTATTTTAAATTCATAATTAAATTCAATTATATTTTCTACAATAAATTCAGAATTTAGATGATTGTGTCCGGTACAAAATATAATCGAAAATATAATCGAAAATATAATCGAAAATATAATCGAAAATATAATCGAAAATATAATCGAAAATATAATCGAAAAT